TTTAGGGTTGCTAGGTAGGTAGGTTAGACGCTATTTAACAGTAAATCTAGTATTTTTTAAATTATTATGTAGGGAATGGTAGCTTCTTTTTGTAGTGCTGGTGTCCTGCGTTGTTTTTTTCCCTTAGTCGGCTCTTACGACACCCATGGGATGAATTGGGGTACTGACATTCCGTATTCTTAATCCGTCACTACACGGACAACAACCTCCTTTCTAAGGAGAGGCCTATGTCCGGCAGTGGACTGTTAAAGGCTGTTGATGTGAATGGTAGCTGTATATGTTAAAATAATTACTAGATTTACTGTTAAATTGGAGCAATAGGGTCGTTATACATCGTCTAAAAACAACTTATTGGCAACAACGTGTTTAGTCTAGTTGCTTTAGTAGTAACCTTGACCTACGTACGAAAAAATCGAATGATAAATCACCGTTAATTTGTCCCTTGTCTAGTCTGTAGCGATGTTGATTATCCAGGATAGATGTTTTTTATGTTATAGGGGCAAACAAGTAGACGGGTCTCCTGATGGTAAGTGTCCACCACCCATGGAAACCTGCAACTCAAAAGTGTGGTTAGTGATCCTGACTGCTGCACCAGAGGTCGTGGGTTCGATTCCCACCAAGGACAAATAAATGTGTGAGGAGCGCGATCATTTGTTCTGTGTCTAGGTTTAATTTATCTATAATATGTATGTATTTACAAATATATAAGTATATTTATCAGCAGCCAGAAGGCCTATTCTCGTAATAAAAACTTCGGTCTGAATTCAGTTCCAAACAAGTTTCAATCTTACAATTGTCATAAAAGGTATTTTCGTAGTATACATTTTTTTCATAGACTATTTATTAAGTATCCAATGGCAATAGGTTTTATAACATTTCGCCGTAACTCTTGATAGCAGAACTATAAGAAGACAATTAACACTCACCATTGATTACAACGATTATTTTGTCCTCAGATATTATAAGCAACATACTTATAAGCAAAAATAAAAAGCATTATAAGCAAATCGCTCCTAGAAGCTTGTGAACGCCCCAGGAGGCTTCTACACTTCTGGAAGGAGCTTGGTTGGCTCACCTGGCTAACCAATCCTCGACGCATAAAGGACCACTCTTGAGTCTAAATGCGGAAACCGAAGCCCACAAACAATACCAATACCCCCGATCGGAACGAAGTTCCTTTCCCTTTTAAGTTGACGTTTGCTTATTTATTTATTTATTGGTTTACCAGTAATTATTACACAAAAAAAATCGTAAAAAATAGAACATAGTATTGACCTTAATCTAAGTGCACAACTTATGTAGGTAAACACCGCATGCATGTAATCTAATATGGCTTTGAAAAAAAAGAAATAAAAATACTACCTATTAACAAGGGTTGTGAAAAAAGTAGAAAAATGAAAGGTTGTAGAACCTATAACCTAATATTACAGATAGGTACTATCTCCAAATAGAACAACAATTAGTACATAGCTAATCGACAGTAAGGTTGTGGACTGGGTTCTTAAATCGTTGAAATTTTGTGCCAAAAATATCTATCTGCTTACTGATTTGATTGTATTTCTTGCTTAGCGGTGAAACAGGCGAGTTGGAACCTTAAACCGACTTTCGCAAAGGAGGATGTAGGACCATCATTGGTTTTCGGGGATATTTGTGAGGTATATTGAATTTAAATTTTGAAAGTAAATCTGGGCAATCGATATTGTTGTGTAGTAATTTAAATAAAAATAATAAATCAGATGAATTCCTGCGTTTTTCTAGTGAGTCAATTTTGAAATATTTGATAATTTCAAGTAGCTTGGTTGTTTCTTTGCAAGACCCGTAGAGTAGGCAAGATGGTTCAAGAAACGCTTTTGGATTCGTTCAATACTAAGGCTATGTGCAGCATAGTGAGGACGCCAAGCTACGACACAATACTCAAGTATGCTTCTTACAAGGCTACAATACAGTACAATTTTAGTTTGAGAAGAGCTCAATGGTTTGCTATTTCTAATAAGAGAACCCAGAATTTTTGACGCTTTCTTTACAACATTATCCATGTGGGGAACAAAAGTTAGTTTGGAGTCAAGTATCAAACCTAAATCTTTGATTGTGTCTACGTGGCCAAGTGGTATGCCGTTTATAAATTGTTAAATATATCAAATATGAAAAAGATGTGAGTCGATGCCAACTGAAGTGTCGGTAGCAGTCTTGTTACACATTTTTCGGTCTCTCTCCCATCCGCTCGGAGCCTGTAATGCGATGAGAAAATTCGTTCAAAAAAAAAAAAAAATATTGTGGCAATCTATTTGCCAAACGTAGCCAAACCATAACGTCATTCAAAGACCAGTCGAAAATATAAGCATATTACTGTCTATTTACTCGTAATTCTGTGGTCAACATTCTTTCAAAGTTTTGGGTTTGACCAATTTTGTGTGATTTACAATCATTATAGATACATATGATAAAAATGTGCGACCCCGAAATAAAATAAAACTGTTATTGCCCTATTATTGCGTTTTTTTATGGTACAAGGGTATAACGAACAGACTGTTTACCTGATGATACCCGTTTGCCGTGATTTGAGTCATACCCTAACCTCAGTCACCCTTAATGTTGCTGTCTTTTAAGGTGGTACCGCATTTGAGCGTGCGCTGTGCGTTATAATATTCTCCAGGCGCCGACGCCGAATGCAGCGCCGCTTAAAAATGACTAAAAGAATATTTTGACGCGTCGTGCCGCGCTGTGCAGTGACGAGCAGCGCCGCTCAAATGCGGTCCGACATTTATGAGTCTTGTATAGCTCTCCTACGTTTTCCCTTCTGCAACAAAAATACTTCAAGAAATATAAATGACAGTCCTTTTGGTCTCGTGCTGAGTGAGATTGTGATTGATAAGCCAGAGGGAGTGGGTTCGATTCTATAATTTATTTAGAAATATATGTGCCAGATTGGCGACAATATGCGGGTACCAGCCAGTATTAAATAAAAAGATAAAAAATTTGACACTGATTTATTAAAAAAAAAATTGTAATGTATTCTATCTCGTTCTCTCGCCGACTTGATCCTATACATTTATGTATTTGTTTCTTTGCACGACGTGACGCATTTTCGTTTCATCGAGTTTCAAATCACAACGATTCTAAACAAGTTTCACTTCAAAAAACTCTTCCTACTTTTAAATGAAAGAAATGTCATCAGCAACAACAGCCATTAGTAGCCTACTGCTGGACATAGGCTTTTCCTTATCCTCTCTCATAGTCCTAGGAGATTTGGGTCTACTAAACTACGCTGGCCAGACATGGTGGTATAAAGTTTGTGTCAAGTTTATTATCTCTTTACCTTGCTGTTGTCCTTAGTCGGAACGGAATGAATATAGGTGGTGACACTCCGTATTCTTAATCCGTCACCACACGAATAAAACAAAAACCAACAATTGATTTTAAAATAAGAACAATCTTTTTTTTTAATTTCTTGCGTCGGCCCATTAGTCGAAGTTGCACATTGTCACCATTGGATTGCGTCAGCAATGAATTGATTTGATTTTTTTTATTTCTTTATACTGCCCGTTTGATCCCACTGCTTTATTTGTAATGTGTTATTGCGTGATATTTTTTTTTAGGATTTAATACATATTATCATAACAACGCTGCCCTGTAAACTGTGAACGATATTGGAAAATTAGTTTTTTTGTAAATTATGAAATGGTGTCATAAGTCTTGAGTGTATATACATAAATATCTCTGCTTGTGTGTGTATGTTAGGCACCATAGCTTCCAAAGCGTTAATCGATTTTGCTTTCTTTGTTTACAATGTACCTTACTTGATTCTCAACCAAGTTACATTCTTCTTCTACTAACTTCTAGTAAGTTAGTAGAAGATATGAATTCGGTTCTTTCTTCTCATAAATCTCCGCCCGCGTTTATGTCGGTTATCGCGGTAAAAAGTTGCCTATGTTACTCGCTGATAATGTAGCTTTTCATTGATGAAAGAATTTTTAAAATCGGTTTAGTGGTTTAGGCGTGAAAGCGTAACAAACAAACTAACTTTCATATATTCAAGTATGGATTTTATTGTCCAAATAGAAACTACTTTTGAATCTGAGTGAATAAATTTTTAAATGTAGAAAAAATATCAAATGTATTCTTAACCTATTAAACAAATAGGCCGTATAAAGCATACAACTTAGTAATTAAAAAAAATGGTAAATCGATTGTTATTTTATCGATGATCAACGAGATGTAAGTCCTGAGGAACTATTGTTTTTATGGGAATTGTGTTATGTAAGACAGAGATGGTGTTATGTCAGTGATGTCATTTACGATGGCACACATGCTTAGTCGAGAGGAAAAGTGCTCCGATTCCATTGTTAGCTATCATTATTCTCTTATGTCATGGTTTAATCGAGTGGTTGGAAATTTGTTTTGTGATTCTTTACTTTATTTGGTTCTGACTGCTAAATCCGAGGTCGTGTTTGTGTTACCAAACTTCTCCGAAACGGCTGGACCGATTTTTACGAAATTTTGTGTAGGTCTGAGAATCGGCCAACATCTATTTTTTATACCCCTAAATGATAAGGGTGACCCACGCCTAAATTTTTTTTTATTACATAATGTACATATCTGGCAAAACAACGTTTGCCGGGTCAGCTAGTATAAATATACACTTGGAACTTTCCTAGCTTCCTCGTCCTTTCAAGTTTCCATACCTCAATGAATGAACTTTTTTTATTGTAAAACGTCATGAAAATAGACTAGAAATACATTATTTTACATGATTCTATCTCTGATACGTATCTAGAAGGTAATATGATCCTAAGGGGGGGAGGAGGGACTTCTGCATATGCACAGCTCCGTGTTCCTAACGGTTATTATACCAATAACAACAGACATTGAATTAAATATACGAAGATACTTCTAAAACCATGTTCTGTTATTATAATTATTTTTCTTTGTATTTCCAGGACGCAAAATGACAGGAGCGAGATGAAATATTCAACTTGGTAATTCTACATAATGTTATAAATATGGAGTCCCCAGTCAGAATATGTTTAGGTGAGTTTCATTCGAAATTATGCTTAAAATATGATTGTTCTTAACACAAATCTACGCTTAAGCACACACATTTAAAACTAATTAGTACGTATTAGTTTAATTACACAATATATTTTTTATAATGCTTAAGCCTAAACTAACTTTATAAAATAAAAAATATATTCAAAATGAAAGAAAAAAAATATAAGTAACTTGAGATTTTTTAGGAACTTTCCAACCACCATTACATGACACATATTTCTCTTATTCATAATGTATAGTTAATGACTGGCCTGTTGGTATAGTGGTTAGTGAACCTGACTGCTACGCCAGAGGTCGTGGGTTCGATTCCCACCCAGGACAAATAACTGTGTGATGAGCACGGTCATTTGTTCTGTGTCTGGGTGTACTCTATCTATAATATGTATGTATTTAGAAATATATATGTATATTTATCAGCAGTGTGGTTACCATAGTACAGGCTCTGCCTGGTTTGGGACCAGACGTGAGATGTGTTAAAATATTATTTTTATAATAAGAGCGATAATATTCTTTGACAATCACGCAATCATAATTAAGGTTCTTTTACCGCTAAAGAGTGAACTGACAAGTCCCAAAAGTGACAAGTGCAAAAAAACTATAGGACAAAAATCATAGATAGAATATTGTTTGAAAGCGTGTAGGTGATGTGTAAGAACGCACCCATAATGGTTTCTATAGAATTAAAAAATAGTCGTCGTACTGTGTAATTGTAAAATAGATTAATTTTGAAAATAATTTATTAATTTTCAGGTGCAGCCTTAGTAGTGAACTTACTACTGCTGAGCAACACGACAGTCTACGGCAACGCGATACCCCGCGACGCGACTATTATTGGAGATGAACCCCGCCAGCTACCCGCCAGGAGTCGACCTGAAACCCCTGATGTCTCCCTCAACGAATTAAACTCTAAGATAAAACCAAAAGTATCAACCTCAGAAGAAAATGCTAAATATAAAGATCGAGGAAGAGGCAACGTTAAATTTCAATCTCAGCTCAAAATGAGTACAGAAAATTCTCGTCGCAGAGTTAGAGCAACGGAGCCTCCGAAGTTATTGGTAGTTACTGATACACAAGTTGATAGTAGGCGTCTATCTAAGGTGCCAAGTCTAACCAGCAGTACGACGCCTATGACAGTTGAAAAAAATGAACAAAGTGAAGAAGAGTACGATGATGGTGAAGACGAAGAGGAAGAGGAAGAGGAACAAGACTCTTCTGAAAAGCTTACTTCTAGTTTAGATAATTTCTTTAGTATGACTAGCTTTGATGGCTTTACACATGATTCTGAATTTGACAGCTCTAATAAAAAAGTAAAACATGACTTTGATAGTGCAAGTTACGGTGGATTTTCAAGTTTGTTTCCTAGTAAGGCTACTTATGGCTTTACAGAGCCTACACATGACTCGTTTAAATCAGAATTCTTTAATTATGAGACAGATCTCACTACACCTAAAAACGATTATTTTGACAAGAAGTTTCGCCAGGTTTCTAGAAGTATTAAAAAGAATTTAGATACAATGAAAGCTAAAGCTACATCCCCTAATGCTACAAACATTCAAAAAATTATTAAAGAAAATTTAAATACGGAACAACTAGGAAACAATAGCATTCCTGGTAACAAATCAACAGTATTCATTAAAAATACCAAAGAAATTCGTTTGTTAGATAACGACGGTGCCGGGAGCACAAACAAAGAGTTATCTGACGTTCAAGGTACAAGCATTTATTACGAAATGTCTGTACTATCTACAGAGACCTATGCTATAAATAATTCAGACTACGACTGTGATAATGATACAACTTCTTCCGGACCAACGCCGAGTACATCAGTAGAGGAAGAACTAATATCAATTAATGCTGTTCCGCAATCTCTTCCCACAACTACAAAACTTCCTGATCCAGGACCTGAAGCTTCATCTACAGTGTCTTCAAGTTACTCGCCGGTGTCAACCGCGAGTACTATAAATCCTATTACTTCATCAACAAAGAAGTCAGTCTCATCAGTGGAAAATACAAAAACATATTTACATAATTTTAGAAGTAGAAGTTACTCTAAACGCTTGAACTTTAATGGGAATAAAGATTCCCCTAACAGTGTGACATCAAAACCTGTGTTATCATCAAGTGCAAGTCCAAGATTAACCCCCAAGTTTCAACTCCCAAAACTCAAAACCACTCCAAAAAGTAAACGCGTCTGGATGTGGCCACGGCGCAATAGCACAATTGTGTCACCTATATATTCCGAACATTTTAGCACAAAGGCAAATACAACAACTCGGCCCCGTTTATCGAGCCCGTTCTTTGTTAAACCGGTCAAGACGGCGCTGACAACAGTATCTTCCGAAATAGACCCTGTTTTGCAAGATGACATCAGCGGACCGAAGAAAGTAGTTCACTCTCAGTCGATTTCGGATAATACAGTTCCTAGTTTATCTAAGCGGGGTTCGACAAAGTTTGGAGTCTCTACAGCATTGTCAAAAGAAGTGGATGCAGAAAGTGAGATGCCGCCAACCGCGTGGGCTCTAGCAACTCTTCGTATTACGCCCCCTTCACCAGTCGCTATCAACAAAACTGGATCATTAAATAAGAGTATCGATGAAAATGAATTACAGAGTGCGAATGAACTTTTAGGTAAGTGTGTAACAAATCATTCAGTACAGTTACTTTATTTAATAAATAACAAATATATTGATTTACAAACAATCTCAAAATTTGATATAAATTTATAATCCAAAAAATATTTAAAAATAACTTTAAGAGCTAATATTTAAAAACAGAAAGCCATTCCATAATTTAATTCACTTAATGTTCTGTTTTAATTAAAACGATAATATGTTTTATTACAGAAAAAACCAGAGCAACTACCACAGTATCCACAACAACTACTTTGCCTAATCCTATTAGCAACGATATAATCCCTAAGAGGATAAAAGATGTCCTTCAGAACAAACCATTAGCTCAGGCAACGACTACACCCACAAATGCTGAAACTCAATCAAAAAATAATACAACATCGGAGATATTTTCTAATGTAACGAACCTTTCAGCAGAAAACAGCGTAGAAGAATCAGGTTCAACAGAAGTTGTTACAGAATCATATAAATACTTTAAAGAATCTTGGGTACCTATAGGAGAAGAAGACGATACCACTGATAAAAATGAGATAGAAAAAGAAACAAACCAACATGTTGACTTGGCTAAGCCAAGTAGATTCGAATCGATCACAAAACTACCAGCTGAAATCACCACACCTCAAGATGAAAATGTTGCAAGCTCAGAAGTCAATCAAACAATAGCTGATGCGAAACCCACCACTAATTATGAGATAACTACTATAAGATTCTCTTACATCCCAACTGAAGACGCGGTAACAACTCCTGAATCAGAAACGGACCCTACTGAGCCAATAATACCAAGCACATGGCATCCTGTTTTCCCAACGAGAACTCGAATAACGACGTTGGAAGATACCCCTGTTACAACATATAGACCTAAGTATACAGCAACTGAAGAGAAAGAAGATGAAACAACAACTGTTTTTATAGAAACATCATCTCCGATAGAAGTATCATCACAGGTTTTAGAAAATCTCACTAAAATGTCCCTTCAAAATACTGAGCTCCCGACAAAAACTAGCTCAGAATCTACTAGTATTCCAACTACCACAGAAATCACCACTGAAACGGTTACTGAAGAAAACACTAGTCAACCAACGATAGTAGAGACTTCTACCGAACCTGTTACTACCGAGCGTACTTCGACAACCACTGAAGCCACAACCACTGAAGCTACAACTACCGAAGCCACAACTACCGAAGTCACAACTACCGAAGTCACAACTACCGAAGTTCTTCCCACTACAATAACATCTGAAACAGTTGAAGATACAACGACAACAGTAGTAGAAGTAGTCACTGAAATAAATACGGAAAAGGAACATACAATCGTTCAAACTGTTCCGTCTATTCCAACACAGAGCTCGGCTAAAAACCAACAAATGACTGATTCTCCAGATGGCAACAGCAGCAGTAATGAAGTCACTCCAGGAACTATTAAGACAACATCTGCCGCATCACCTGCAGGATATTTAACCACAACACCTGTACACAAAAGTACCTACAGTGTGAAAACAGAAGTACCTACTACTACAGAAGTAGTTGATGAAATGACTACACAGCGTAGTGCGAAAATTCAGGATACAACGATGGCTGTAACTGCATCAAATACAGAATACACTACAAAAGCGACTAATGAAGATACAACAATCTATACGGGAGATATGACGACGGAGGCTTCGTCTCGAGTATTTGAGTCCGAGGATTCTGGGTCTGGAGCTGCCATCGCGATCGCCGTCAGCACCATTGGAGTGGTTGCCCTGATACTGCTTATCGGACTTCTGGTAAGTTTAATTAATTTTAATAATGCAAAATATTAAAGAGTACGACCAACAATAAGACGGTATGGCCAGGAGTTTTGAAATAAGTGTCGCTAACTACACAAGGGATAAATCTACCGCTAATCCTTATTGAAAAAACCTAGTTCGAGACGAACTACTAATTACAAACTACTAGACGTGCCATATCACCATAAAAAAAATATCAATACCTGTGATTTATAATATTTATTTTTAAATAGTTTTATGAAAGGTAAAGATCAGAGCGACGGCAAGAAAGGCTCTATCTTAAATATAAAATTCTCGTGTCACAATATTAGTTACCATACTCGGCTGTACCGATTTTTATGAAATTTTGTGTGGTAGATCTGAGAATCGGCCTACATCTATTTTTCATACGTCTAAATGACAAGGGTGACCCACCCCTAATTTTTTTTTCAATATTTCCTAGAAATAATGTACATAATATGGCTAAACAATGTTTGCCGGGTCAGCTAGTAATACTTAATATATAAATATGTTTATTATGATATATTCCGTAAACGTTTTAAGTGCCTAGAATCCTGTATATTGCCATTATCGACAAACAAAACATCCAAAAACTATAGGTTTCGGGCAACGGGACGCTGTTTCTTTAATTTATTTTACTACTTGATGGTATAGTGTCAATAGGATACATACTCTAAGACAAGGCGAAGGCTGTAACGAAATTTTAGGCAGAGATTTTCGCTATAGGTGGCAAGTAACACCAAGGGGATGGAAGGGTTCAAATTAAAAATTGAATTTAATTTAAAACAAATACACACTAAACACAAAAAATGTTTTTAAACTTTCGCGACTTTTATGAATTATGTTATGAAATCCGAAACTTAATCTATATCTACCCGTGACTACTCGTGACCACCCGTGACCACGATCCGAGTAATGCTAAGGAAACATGAAGTAAAGAAGAAGATATTGTACCTAAGCATATATTCCATCCTCAGAATTAACTGACTTAACTCAAAACAATTTTATACGGATGTTTAATGTTTATAAGAATGAAAGTCTTCAAAAAGAAGAATGGCCAACCCATGTATGTACTGTACCGGTAATAATAATAATTACGTCATAATTCTAACACACGGCCATCTGATCCCATACTAGGTTGAGCTTGGACTATGGTAACCAGACTGCTGATAAACACACTTAAATATTTCTAAATACATATATGTCATAGATAAATTACACTCAAATTCAGAACAAATGAAGCGGCGGTAGCCTAGTGGTTAAGGCATTTGACTTGCGATCAAGAGGTCGTGGGTTCAAATCCTGACCAGTACACTACCGACGTGAACCTACTCCTAATACAAGCAATTTAGCTTAGCTGGAGGGGTTAACGGGAATACTAGTAATTTGGGTTGCTAGTAAGCCCATAAAAAAATATATATATAATGTCACATCTGTAATCGAACACACAACCTCCAGCTTTGCAGTCAAGGTCACCAACTACTAGACTAACTAACAAATAATAATCTTAATGCAAACTCTTTCCTTACGAGATTTTAAAGCAGGCTTTTAAGGCCAAGAAATTGGTTACACAACAGAAAAACATATCAAGACATCTTTTGATTCTTCTCTTCTTGTTACAACAGCAACTTCTTTGTGATTAGCGCCAATTGTGCAGTAGTCTTCTTTAGATGAGTTTTCGTACAACATATCCAAAGTAATGAGCATAATATCTATAGGATGAGCTCACGATAAATTACGTTCACTACTTTGGAGAACGTTGTAGTCTAGATACCGAAGATACCGGATCATCTGGAATAGCATTTCATTTCTTTTATAATAAATACAGTGTAAAGTTATTCGTTATGACTAATTTTTAGCATATTTTACTAAAAACTAGCCTTTTCTGGCACTTTTACAGTGTGAACGGTCACTGATCCGCTCCAAAAAATGTAGCGTGTTCTAGTAATTTACATTATTCATCTGTAAATAAATTTATCTAATCTTCGTACAAAAATTAATTTAGTCAAAGACTTAGAGTTAAAAGTTTTAGAGTTAACACAAATAAACCAACCAAAAAAAAACTCCTATCTTTATATTATTAATACTGATAGATGTTCTAACAAGGGTTCCTTTTCAACGAGTCAAGTGTCAACACGTGAGTAGAACTGTTTTGTTTTTATCTTTTTAAAGGACAACTCTCGCATTAGGAATATATGTATCCTGTGTCGCGGGGGACTTTACAAACATACATGAAACGGACACAAAGAACACCCAGACTCAGAACAACAATTTGTGGATAACACAAAGTGTCGTCCCATATAGGGATTGGACCCACAACCCAGCGTAGTAGTAAGCGGCGTGGCGACCGCTTAAACCACTACGTGATCCGCGCAGTCAAATGTACATCATTTGTAAAAAATAATAGTTTTAAAAAACTAAACAACACGCTTTTTATAGAAAACCAAAATTTGAAAAAAAGCGTTGGGTGCTTGTTGTCAAATTTCGTTTTTCGCGAAAACTTGTAAAAAGAAACGTCTTGCAGCACAAAGAAAGGAAAAAATAATATTAATAAATAATATTTATCTTAATTTTCTTAATATTTATCTTTTTTTTTTTTAATAATATTTATCTTAATTTTCAACTTTTTTTATTCCAAAAAATAAAAAAAGTTGAAAATAAAGATAAATTTTGGTACTTACAAATTTTCTCGAAAATCTACGTAAAATCTGGGTAGGTACGGAACCCTCGGCGCACGAGTTCGACTCGTACCTGACCGGTTTTTTTCTTTTTACTTTTGAGAGACGCATCCGAACTCTCTACTTCATCACATTCTATCACATGCCAGCTAAATATATACCTAATTTAAGTTTATAAAAGAATAACATTGAAATAACATACTTAATTTTAAATAACCTTTAAGACTTTAATACAATTAACATTAATAAAATATATCCCCACTTACTATCGCGCCTATATCACGATAAGTGACAATAAACTGTGTTCTTTCAATTCGTAATTTTCCACTTAGAGATGTAATATTTTCTTTTAAATTTTAATGGCAGCCATGACTGGTAACCACCAATAGAGTTAATAAAATCGATTCGTAAATGAATAAGATATCGAGTAACATATACACAATGGAAAATATTTAGTCGAATTGAGGAGGCGATTGTCAAGTCGATTTAAAAGGATTCGATTGGCCTGTGGTTGAGACTTGTGGTCCTAAGTGTTTAGGTTTAATTAAATAGAATAAAAATGTATAAGTATGGTTATCAGAAGTTTGGTTTCCAACTACATAGTTTGAAATCAGCGAACCCTTTGTGAAATGTTTTAATTTATCATTGAACTGGCTGCCACTACTTCTGACGACTAATTCTTTCGGGATAAAAGTAACCTCTATGCTGTGCCAGACTATAATTTATATCTGTACCAAATTTTATGCATATAAATCCCTTTAGCGGTTCTGCGATAAATTCTTAAAAATCAAATTTCTGACCGAAACTCCCGCCTTTATATTAATAGTTAGATTTAACGACTATTTTAGGTAAAGACTCTATGACAATACAAATATGTAGTCCACATACATTCACATTTTAATTAAACAGTCAAATGAGTAACTATACTTAAATTCAAGGATTCCTAAACTATTTTGGGCAAGAGACCCCTTTTTAAAAAAACTAAAAAACACGCTTTTTATAGAAAACCAAACTAAAAAATGGCAAACCAATTTTAATAAATTTGAAAAAAAGCGTTGGGTGCCTGTTGTCAATAGTAAAAAGCACCCCAAGCTTTTTTTAAATTTATAATTATATATCTATTTATTTTCTTAGTTTTTTAATACTATTATTTTTTATTTTTTTTTTTTAATTAGTGTATTGTCATCGGTCCTCGATATATCTACAAAGTTTTCTGACCGTTTAAAGTCAGTCAAAATCACGCCCAAAGGAGTCGCTTACAAACAAACATACAAACATACACGTGAAGCTAATATAAGGCGAGTAATAAAATGAACTGATACCTCAGACCCCTCTAGCTAAATTACTGCACGCTTATCGACTTGTTGAGTTTTTTTAAATTACAATAATGCTACTTCATGCCTAAATATTAGTCATTCTTATTACAAGTTGTTATACGTAACACAACTGATACAGTATCTTGAAAGTTTCAAAACTTTCAAATAACTTGTGTTTATTAATAGGGGTCGATTACAGATCTCGTCAACCCCCAAAATCAGTTTTAGTTAATTTCGCCCCTTAAACTGATTTGACCCCAAGGGGTCGATATCGACTACTTTGGGAATCCCTGCTTTAATTGATAACAAACCCATATTGAGCAGCCAACGGTATTGCAGTTGTGTTGTTTTTTTTTATACGCATTAAAAGGGGAATTACCTTTTTAATTGGTGGTCAAACGTCAATGTTGGTTTATGGAACAGGACATCCTGAAATATAATAACGATTACAGTCAGTTACTAGAAATGATTAGCAGCAAATGACAGTATAAGTATTCTTAAACTATGTGATGAGCAGAACTAAAAGTTCGCTAGACTTTAGTTAGAAGAATAATTTACGCAAGTCCATAAGAAATCTACACAATTATATTTTAACTGTATTTTTTTAACCTTAACCTTATTTTTGTTTCAAAATTAGTAACTAACAATACGTCTTATAATATTAGCATTTAAGTCAGTCTAGTAAGTCCAATAATCTGGAGATTTTATAAGTCTGTATGTCTGTCTAGCAACAGACTATAGTGTAAATATTCAGAGATAATTCAGTTTTCGTAGTTGTGACTGTGTTAAAGCAGACACTTCAGGTTATACGAGTATGTATATTTTTAAATAAAGCATCGAAATTTTATCACAAAAATGTTACAATTTATAAGTTTTGACAGACTTTAATGTTCCCAACTTATGTTCTGTCGCCAAAATTTTCATGTTTCTATCTTCTCATATTTATTTCTAGTTCTGAGATAAGGAATATATAAATAATAATAAATTATTATTTATAAAATCA